TACCTGGGGGCCCCTTGTTACAAATTTTTCAGGATTTCTTTAAGTCCCGGGTCACATGTGGAGAAACCTTCAACTTCATGAAGGGATTGTATCTTCATAAAGATTATGTTAACAACAAGGAATTTGTGACTTGGAGAGGTAAAGGAGTTTGTGTGTATCTGTCTATCACAAAATATATATATAGCACTGTATAGTATCCCAATGTCACGGAACATACATGAGCTTGACTTTGTTCTGCTGAAGCCAGGGAATATATCCCTGCTTACACTGTAGCAAAAAATTTTGATCCACAGATTTTGTATTTGTTTTGTCGCATAAGGCAAGCTCATCATTGGACTATAAAGGTCTGTCTCAGATGAAGGTGCATGTTGGAATGTCTTTTTTCTTCTTATAACACTGATATGAGTTTTGTGTATTTCTTCTGCCAAGGCATGTGTAACAAATCAATATAGTTACTTGTGTTACTTGGAGTGTCTTACAGGTACTCACCTGGATGCATTTCCCAACCAGCTGACTCCCATGGAAGAGAGCTTGTATTTAGTGGATGGTGGCTTTTCCATCAACTCTCCCTTTCCTTTGGTACTTCAGCCAGAAAGGGATGTGGATGTTATTTTGTCATTCAATTTTTCCTGGGAAGCTCCATTTGAGGTGAGAGATGTAGCTGAGCATTATTAAACAAACATAAAAGCACAGAATTGTACTCAGTGGCAGCAGATCAGTTGGAGCTGAATACAAACACTAATGGACAAATGAATGAAAATAAATGCTTACATCTTTCATGGAATCACAGAATGGTTTGGGTTGGAAGGGACATTAAGGATCTCATTTCAACCCTCTTGCCATTGACAGGGACAGCTTCCAGTAGACCAGTTTGCTTAAAACCCTATCCAGCCTGACTTTGAACACTTTCAGGAATGGGAGTCCACAACGTCTCTGAGCAGCCTGTGCCAGTATCTCACTGTCTTCACAGTGAAGAATTTCTTCCTAATATCTAATCTAAACCTACCCTCCTTCAGCTTAAGGCCATTTCCCCCTTGTCCTGTCAGTACATGCCCTTGTGAAGAGTCACTCTCCAGCTCCTGTAAGCCTTCCTTAGTACTGGAAGGCGTTGTAAGGTCTCCCCAGTGCCTTCTCTTCTCCAGGCTGAGCAGCCCTGCCTCTCTCCTCCTGTCTTCCTATGAAAAGTCATTTCAAGCGTTATTTTGCTATGCTTTGTCCTGTGAAGGTCATGAGAAAAAAGAAAGTAGACAACTGTGAGAAGATTAAAAAACTTTCAGAAGCCTAAACGGATTAAGTAAAATAAGACTCTTTGCTTGGCCCATAAAATCATTGTTACTTGAATATGTGCTTCTAAACAAAGGGTGGCTATTGGTGATTTTCTTCATGCAAACAGGGTATTTTCTGTGAATACAAGTGTTCATTATTAAGTGCAGAAAAGTCAAGGTCAATAGATTTAGGGTAGGAAAGCATAAAAAAATTTCAGCTGCAATCTGTTGCTGTTTCTTGCAGTTCTTCTCTTCATTCTTCTACATTACCAGCCAGAGAAATTGTTTCTGCTGCTTTGAAGCTGAGTTTGTCACTTTTTTTTTTTTTTTTTTTTTTTTTTTTTTTTTTAAATGGAAGTCTCTTTCCCTTTGAGGATTGTAGTTAGATGATCTTAGAAGTGTTGCTGGTGTTTTATTGCAGTTATCTTTTTTCTCTGCTGACAGGTTTTAGAGCTGACTCAGAAATACTGTGAGGAGCGGGAAATTCCTTTTCCAAAAATCAAATTCAGTCAGGAAGATGAAGAGAAGCCAAAAGAATGTTACATGTTTGTGGATGAAAATAATCCAAAGGCTCCAATTGTACTCCATTTCCCTTTAGTGAATGACACTTTCCAGAAATACAAAGCTCCAGGTAAGAAAGCTGCATCTTAAATCACTCTTATAACAATTCTTTGAGTGTGCTGATGGGGAAAATTCAGTGAAGTTGATGTTCCTCTTTTCATTCTTCTTAATATTACTCTGTAATTGTTAAATTTACCTTTACATTTAAGGCAGAATCAGTGCCCACTAGTTTTTTGAAGGGCAGGATGAGAGAAGAGGCTCATAACCTCCCTCCCCCCACAAAAGTGTTCATAATAAACTACTTTAATGTTAATCTTTTAATACTGGTATTTAAATTTGAGAGGCAAGGTACTCCTAGAGACAGTTGAACTTGAGGTTGGTCTTTCATTTTAGTGTAAAGCAGCACTTCCAGGTAGAATTGAGCTTTATATTCCTTATTTTGAG